CTCCCGTCACGTTGTGACCATCCTATATATACCAGACTACCCCTAATCTAGTAAATGCTAGGGCATTCACGAAGGAACAGGATATTTCTAGAAAGCAGGTGGCGTGACACTAGTCACGTGACCTCGCTAACGCAACAACTGCATATCATCCCTCGCTTTCACTCATAAGGTCTTCTAATTACACGTGACAATACTTTCAGGTTTTGTATTTTGTCCTTCGGTGAGTCAGAGATAAATTTACAGACTCGCAACGCTAAAACCCGAGATCGATTCCTTACTTGAAATTGAATTCCATTAATTAAGTAGCTTTGCCTTAAAATAGCAAGAAACATTTTAATTTTTACATGTTTTGTATAAACATGTGTATATATAAAAAATTTCTGAATGCAAAAAAAAATATATATATACAAATCTTTGATTTCCCAAACTTAATATAATCCACAATATACACGGGAACAAATACATATAATCTACTACATGTGAGAACAACGATATATAATCCAATGTTGCTACCTTTTCATATTTTTATCCCTATTTTGCGTCAGTTCTAGTCCTTGGGAATAAATAAAATCACATGTTGCTTAGAATTACTCCTACAACTTGGTACACAACACCTAAAAAACAGCACGTCTATATTGAGTTAGTGAATTCATTTTGTAGGCCTAAGAAAGCTGCATGAATGATGAATGGATTCCCACGTTCTGAGCTACCACTACAAGCAAATACTAGAAGCGCTAAAAATCTGTAATCCCCCATGACTTGTCATTCATAAATATTAAGCCTATTAGCTCCATTGCTTCGCCTGATTTCAGCGTTTGGCATAGTAACAAGTTTTTTTCGTACTGCACGTTAGTGGCGTTTTAAATAGTTTTTTTGCTGTCTTTAGTTGGTCCTGGTAATGAAATAAAAGGTATTTGGGAACAGGGGAAGAGTAAAGGGCAAAGCCCTCCACAAAATCTTTCATGATCTTTTCAGGAAAGGAAAAAAAAAAACTTGTTAGCGATATGTTTTTTTTTTAATGAGTGAACGTAGGCTATCTTTAAATCCATCTGGTTCCCGATGATGCTGTGATGTTATTGTTTCAAAATTCAAATATCCATAAACGTTTTTTTTATTTCATTTAAATTGTTTATTCCATAAAATGAAAACAATCCATTGTGTTGTGCTAATAATATCACCACTGAAGACATTGTTAATTGTTAACGCAACGCATTGTGTAACGATTTTGGGTTAAGTTACACGAGAACAATGTTTTCATCATTACATCAATAAAACCCATCAACGTTGTATTTTTAAGAATAACAAATAGCATTATCTACGTAATATTATTCATTGAAAATCAACTTTTTCTATCGCTTCATATTTACTTGCTATTTATTTTGTGGTCTCATAAAATTAATACCATCTATAAATTTTATCTTATTACAAATTAGAGATTTTACAGTAAGGAAGAATATTTTTTAAAAACTATAAGTTGTAATAAAATAATACTTATAATGAATAAGTAATCAGAGAATAATTTTTTAAAAATTTTATTCAATTAATACAAGTTAAAAATTAGCTACGTTGCGATAATTCTTAAAGTGGCAAAATGTTTTGCCCAATTATAAAGCTTGGCCCCTTTAACGAAACATCTTTTTGGGCAGTGGTTTATGGCAAACAAAAGATTTGATTTGACATTCTTCACGGTAATGTGGTATTCGCCTGTAAACTAAAGATCCTATAGGTAAGAAATAAGTACCTCAGTAACTGTAGAACCTATAGGTAAGAAATAAGTACCTCAGTAACTGTAGAACCTATAGGTAAGAAATAAGTACCTCAGTAACTGTAGAACCCATAGGTAAGAAATAAGTACCTCAGTAACTGTAGAACCCATACGTAAGAAATAAGTACCTCAGTAACTGTAGAACCCATAGGTAAGAAATAAGTACCTCAGTAACTGTAGAACCTATAGGTAAGAAATAAGTACCTCAGTAACTGTAGAACCCATAGGTAAGAAATAAGTACCTCAGTAACTGTAGAACCCATAGGTAAGAAATAAGTACTTCAATAACTGGAGAACCCATAGGTAAGAAATAAGTACCTCAGTAACTGTAGAACCTATAGGTAAGAAATAATTTCCTCTGTAACTGGAGAACCCATAGATAAGAAATAAGTACTTCAATAACTGGAGAACCTATAGGTAAGAAATAAGTACATCAGTAACTGTAGAACCCATAGATAAGAAATAAGTACCTAAATAACTGGAGAACCTATCGGTAAGAAATAAGTACCTCAGTAACTGTAGAACCTGTAGGTAAGAAATAAGTACCTAAATAACTGGAGAAACTATACGTAAGAAATAAGTACCTCAGTAACTGTAGAACCTATACGTAAGAAATAAGTACCTAAATAACTGGAGAATTGAAATGTTGTTTTTTTTATATAATGAAGTAAACATAGACAGTCATAGAAAAAATTCAAACATCTGTGTAAAATATGAATCAAAATTTTTATAATATCAGATAAAAGTCAAGGTACTGGGGTCTTCCTTTGTTATTGGATAGAATCGGTGTACCATTGGTACAATCTGAGTAGACTAGAACAGAGAAGATATCTAACTTCCTCAAACAATGTAGAGAGGAAGTTTTGTGTTAATATCAAAGTTTTAGTATGCAACTCACAATTTAGAATTACTTATGTCAGTGATTATTGTCACTTCAAGTTTTTACTAATTTAAACAAACCACTTAGGGAAGACCCACCACTCAGGAGGTGGAGAGGCGATAAATGATCAAGCAAATATAAGCTTTCTGGAATGTCCACTGTTGTATGTAAGGATTACCTAACTTTACGACTATTTACATCCTGTTTACAAAAACGATAACCAAACAATAACAACAGCAACAAAAACAAACAAACAAAAAAAAACCTGCATACACAACCGAATAGAAATGTGTTATTATTCTGGTGAAGGAAGGGTAAAATAAAAGCTGTCAGTTTTTCAAATGCCACGACTAATTATGATTTTTGTCGGGGAAGTAAGTCTATTGATTCTAATCCGTTCCATTAATTAAACAAAAGGTCAATAGAAAATATATTGAAATGATAAAGAGGAATTAGAAGACATAACCGAAACGTTGGGTAATTAAACGCTGCTTTGTCTGAA